GAAAGATCCAGCTTTTCCCCATTATCTCCCCCTCAAAATTTCCTCTTGGGGGGTTTATCCCACCCCCCGCCCCGAGCCCCCTGCCTGTCACCCCCTCAGCAGAGGTGATGTGTCCCCGGTGGGTCCCGGGAGGGGAGCGGGGACCCCCCCAAGCCTGTCTGACCCCCCTTTCCCCGGCACAGCCCTCGGCTCGTGGGGGGTTTCCTACCCCCATTCCGTGCGTGGCATCGCGGGGTCCTGCGTGGTGCTGCCCTGCACCCTGAGCTACCCCGCGGGCGTGGCGACCGCCCAGGGCATCGTGGCCATCTGGTACAAGGACTACGACGGCCCCAGGACCCCCGTGTTCCACTCCGCCGCCCCCCAGGAGGTGGACGCCCGCTTCAGGGGCCGCGCCCGGCTCCTGGGGGACCCCGCGGCCCGGAACTGCACCCTGCTGCTGCCGGGGGTCACCCCGGGGGACGGGGGGCCCTACAGGTTCCGCTTCGAGATCGTGGGCGGCGACCGGTGGTCGGCGGCGCGGGACGTGGTGCTGAGCGTGTCGGGTGGGTGCGGCGCCCCCGGACCCCCCTCCCCGTTCCCTTTCCGCCGGCCCCACGGGCGCATCCCACCCTCCGCTCTCCGTCCCCCAGAGGAGCTGGAGCCCCCGAGCGCCGCCGCCCCCCGGGATCTGACGGAGGGGCAGAGCTCCAGCCTGGAGTGCTCCACGCCCTACGCCTGCCCCTGGGGAGACGCCGTCCTGCGCTGGGAGGGGCACGACCCCCGAGCGACCACCCTGTCCGGGCGGCTGCAGCTGGACACCGGCGGGGTGGGCCAGCGCCTGACCCTCAGCACCTCCTTCTCCTGGAGGGACCACGGCAAGAAGCTGCTCTGCGAGGTGTCCTACGGCTCCAGGAAGGCGAGCACGGAGGTCGTGCTGCGGGTGAGACGTACGTGGGGCGGCTCGCTGAGGGGGCGGGGGGCACCTCGGTGAGGGGACAGGGGGCACCTCGGTGTGGGGACGGGGGACACCTCGGTGAGGGGACAGGAGGCACCTCTGCCACGCCCACGCCCACCCAGGCCCCCCTCCTGCCACCCACCCCCTTCCCTGCGCTCCCTGCAGGAACCAGAGCAGATTCTTCTTGCTCCTCCCTCCTCTGCTCCTCCCCCCTCTCCTGCTCCCCACGTCCCTCTCCGTGGCCGTGCCATCCCAGCTCCGTGGCACCTCCTGGCACCCACAGCCGTGCCCTCTCCCCTTTGCAGCATTGCTTCCCTCCCAGCTCCCCCTTTTCCCCGCACCAGGCCCCAAAAAGGGTCGTGGCAGCGCCCTGTGGGTCCTGCCCACCCTCACCCCCCCCCCCCCGCCGTGTCCGTGTGTCCCCCCCGCAGACGCCCCCAAGGACGTGGAGGTGCGGGTCAGTCCCTCCTCGGGGAACATCCCCGCGGGTGCCACGGTGTCCCTGAGCTGCGAGGTGGGCAGCAGCCACCCCCCGGTCTCAGGGTACGTCTGGTACAAGGACGGGGCCGCCGTGGGCAGCGAGAGGGTGCTGACCCTGCCGGGGGTGCGGCGGGAGGACCACGGGCGGTACCACTGCGAGGCCCTGAACGCCCTCGGGGCTGGCACGGCGCCCATCACCACCCTCCACGTGTTCTGTGAGTGCCAAGGCATCCCCGAGGGGGGAGAGGGGCTGAGTGTGCCCGGCCAGTCCAGACCGGGGTGGGCACGGGCTGGCAGCGAGGTGCCAGTGCTGCTGGGGGAGCTGGGGAGTCCCTGGGGCAGGAGTGTGAGGGCTCCATCCTGCCAGCCCTGCATCCCTCACCTCGGGGATCCCAAAGACACGGCCCTGGAGGGATTTCCAGCCCAGCACTGGGAAGGGAGTTGTCAGAGCTTGTGGGGATCCAGAGCCAGGGGGGGTCTGGTTTGGGTGGGAAGAGACCTTAAAGATCACCCAGTGCCACCCCCTGCCATGGGCAGGGACACCTTCCACCAGCCCAGGTTGCTCCAAGCCCCGTCCAACCTGGCCTTGGACACTTCCAGGGATCCAGGGACAGCCACAGCTTCTCTGGGCAACCTGTGCCAGGGCCTCCCCACCCTCCCAGGGGAAGAGGATCCTCCACCAGATCCTGCAGCAAAGACAAGTCCCACAGGGAGCATCTCCCCCCCGATGGGAGCAGGGGGGTCAATCTGCTCCCCCCAACCCCCCGTGCACCCCCTGAGGGCTGCAGGACCCCACTGTCCCCCCCAGGACTTTTGTCCCCGGCGCTTTGCACTAAAAGCAGAAGGTGCCTCCCCTGCCCAGCTGGGAAGGTGCTGGTGACAGGGGACAAACCCAAACACCTCCCACCTCCGTCGTCATCCCCTGGGGGGGGCAGAGGGGCTCTGGGATGTGGGGATTGGGGGTGGGGGTGCCGCTCTGACCGTGCTGACCGTGCCTCCCACCTCCCCCAGCCGCAGAGGTCTCGGCGAGCCCCGCGGCCGACGTGCGGGAGGGGACGGCCACCACCCTGTCCTGCGACGTGCCGGGCCAGGAGGGGCAGGACCTCAACTACACGTGGTACAGGAACGGAGCGTGGCTGAAGGAGGGCCCGGCCCACACCCTCCTCTTCCCCGCGGTGGCCGCGGGCGACGCCGGCTACTACTCCTGCCAGGTGACAAACGGGCAGGGCAGCGACACGGCCCCGCCGCTCAGCCTCAGCGTCACATGTGAGTGCCACCCCGCCCCTGCCAGCGCCACCCGTGCCAGGGGCTCAGCAAACCCCCAAACCCACGGCAAAGCCTCCTTCCAAGTGCCCCGGGTGCAGCCGGGAGGGGCGTTCAGCCCTCCCGGTGGAATCTGCCGTAAATCCCGCAATTCCCGGCCGTGAGCCACGTGGGAAGGGGTTGGGAGGGGGAGTTCAGCCCCCCCCCGACTGAGTCTGGGGTAAATCCCGCAATTCCCGGCCGTGAGCTGCTTGAGAAGATGTTGGGACGGGGGGTTCAGCCCCCTCCCGACTGAGTTTGGTGTAAATCTCACAATTCCTGGCCGTGATCCACGTGGGAAGGGGTTGGGACGGGGGTTCAGCCCCCCCCCCGACTGAGTTTGGTGTAAATCCCGCAATTCCCGGCCGTGATTGGTGTAAATCCCGCAATTCCCGGCCGTGAGCCACGTGGGAAGGGGTTGGGAGGGGGGTTCAGCCCCCCCCCCGCCTGAGTTTGGTGTAAATCCCGCAATTCCTGGCCATGATCCATGTGGGAAGGGGCCGTTTGGAGCAGTATCTCCCGTGGCAGCATCTCTCGCTTAATCTGCTCCAGCCGTAAACTGGGGGGAGTTACTGATGGAGGAGGGCGGGAGGGATAAGAACAGCTCAGGAGGTTTTGCAAGTCAGGGGGGAAATAAAACAGCCCCGGGCTTGGCTTTGCCAGGTCTGGGGGAAAAGTAACCCGGTGACGCAGGGGGGGAGCAGCTGGGGGTGGTGAGGGGACGTGTCCCACCCCTGGAGGTGTCCAAGGCCACGTTGGACGGGGCTTGAGGGGACATGTCCCACCCCTGGAGGTGTCCAAGGCCACGCTGGACGGGGCTTGGGGCAGCCTGGGCTGGGGGAAGGTGTCCCTGCCCGTGGCAGGGGGTGGCACCGGCCGGGGTTTAAGGTCCCTCCCGACCCGAAGCAGTCCGAGATTCCACGTGTGGAATCCCACCCGAGCTCAGCACCCTCTCCCGTCCCGCAGATCCCCCCCGGACCCCCACCCTGACGCTCTTCCAGGAGACCCAGGGGGGCCGGCTGGCCATCGTCCGCTGCGCCGTGGACAGTCACCCCCCGGCCGCCCTGGCCATCGACCGCGACGGCACCGTGCTGGCCACCAGCGGGGGGGCGCAGCTGGCCCCGCCCCAGAGGTTCGGGGTCGCCGCCTCCCGCAACGCCCTGCGGTTGGAAATCCGGGATGCGGGGCCCCGGGACAGCGGGAAGTACCGCTGCACCGCCAGCAACGCCCACGGCAGCGCCAGCGCCGCCAAAATCCTGCTCGCCCGGGGTGAGTGACGGCGCTGCCGAACTCTGGGCGGGGATGAACCTCCCCTCGGGGCTGGGGGGACCCCCGAGGCACGGGGGGACATCGGTGTCTTGGGGTCTGTGTGGTGGCAGTGCCCTCCCTGCAGCCCTTCCCCTCCTCGGAGGGTTGGAGCAGCTTGTGGAGCTGGAGACGCTCCCGGGGTTTATTTTCCGAAGTACCACAAAATCAGGAGCGACTTTGTCCAAACTTTTCTGCCCCGGAGGTGCTGGGGGGAGGTCTGGGCACACAGGGGGGCCCTGCTCTGTCCCCTGAACCCCCAGTCTGGATGGTTTGGCATGACAGAGGCAGCAGAGGGAGAGAAAAGCCCCCCCAAAACCATGTCCAAGAGGAACATCCCTCGGGATGCCAGAAAAACCCAAAATAGGCCTCAAGGTCCAACCCCAGAGAAACCAAACCCGGGGTTGGGTGTCCCAGAGGGGAGTTGGGCTCCATGAGAAGTGGCCAAGATGCCACCAACCCAACCTGTCACCTGCCAGAGGGCTGAGGGCACCGGGTCTGTCCCAGGGGCAGCTCAGGATGAACCGGGATGCCCTGGATGAACCAGGATGCCCTGGATGAACCTGGCACTCGGAGAGAGTTGGGCAGGGTCGGGAAAGGCCCCGCTTGCCTGGCAGAGCTCTGGGCTGGAGGTGTCCAGTGTCCCCAGGGAATTCCACCCAGTGAAGAGCCACAGATCCCACCCGGAGCAAGAGGGGGCTCAGGGAAGCTGAGGGCGGTGGGTTTTAGCTGGATGGAGCCATGGGAAAGGTGAAAGGTCTGCGGCAGGGATTTCCCTCCCTCCCTCCCTCTCTCCCATCCCTCTCCCTCCCCTCCCGCAGCCGCGGAGCTCCTGATCCAGCCCTCGGCGGAGGTGCCGGAGGGGACGGCGGTCACCCTGACCTGCGTGGGGACGGGGGAGGCGGCGGGGGAGCCCCTCTACGCGTGGTACAGGAACGGGCAGAGGCTGCGGGAGGGCCCGGCCCCGACCCTGCGCTTCCCCTCGGTGCGCGGGGAGGACGCGGGCGCCTTCCAGTGCCGGGTGCGGGGCAGCGACGGCAGCGACAGCGACGCGTCGGGGGCCGTCCCGCTCCGGGTGCTCTGTGAGTGCTGCCGGCGGCTCCCGGGGCTGCCGGGGGGGGTCCTGGGGATGGGCTGGGGGGTCCTCCGCTGCTCCCACCCCACCACCGAACGCAGCCAAGGAGCTCTCGGGCAGGAATGTGGAGAGGGTGGAAAATTCCCTCCGGTGGGTAAATCTGTGAACCTGGGGGAGGAGAAGTTTGGGGACATCCCAAATTCCTGAGACTCAAAGAGTTTTAGTAGCAATTAATGTTTTAAGAACAGTAAATGATCATGAAACCATGAATGGTTTGGGTGGGGAGGGATCTTAAATCCCACCCCATGCCCTGGGCAGGGAACACCTTCAACCATCCCAGGCTGCTCCAAGCAATAAACGATCGTGGAACCACGAATGGTTTGGGTGGGATCTTAAATCCCACCCAGTCCCACCCCGTGCCCTGGGCAGGGACACCTTCCTCTATCCCAGGTTTCTCCAAGCCTCGTCCAACCTGGATGCCCAAGAGCAGCTCACGTAGCACCAGGGAAGCAGCAGCCCCTTGGGTTCTGGGGGTTCTCCCGACCCCGTGGATCCGGAATATTCTCCTCCCGTGGTGTTTTCCCCCTGCAGACCCCCCGAGGCCGCCGGTGCTGAGCTCCTTCCTGCAGAGCCGGGGCGGGCGCCTGGGGATCATCCAGTGCTCCGTGCAGAGCGACCCCGAGTCCAACCTCACCCTGCGCAGGGGGAACGCGCTGGTGGCCTGCACCGGGGGCTGCCCCCTGACCCCCAGGGTCCGTGTGACTCCCTCCTACAACAGCCTGAGGGTGGAGATCCAGGACGTGGTGCTGGAGGACGAGGGCACCTACGTGTGCCAGGCTGGGAACACCCAGGGGAGCGCCAGCGCCGCCGTGGAGTTCAGGGCTGACAGTGAGTGGGGAGGAGGGACCGGGGACAGGAGGGAGGGGTGAGGGAGGCCACACGTCCCCACGGCATCTGGGAACGCCCTGGGAGAGGGGAGCCCGGGAAGGGAATGCCAGGGAAGGGGACGAGCCCGGGGGATGGCGGCAGAAGGAGGGGAGGAGCAGAAATGAGCGACGTGCCCGTGAAATTCGGGTGTCCAACAGCTTCTGCCTCCAAAAACTGTCATGAACGGGACCTTTGGGGCAGGGGTGGAGCGTGAGTGGGTTTAAAGTGGGGGCCAGCAGCCCCTTCTGGTGGGTTTGGAGGTTCCCGTGGTCACAGCAATGGTTCCAGCTTCTGGTGGGGATAGTTCCATCTCCTGGTGGGGATTGTTCCAGCTCTGGGTGGGGATTGTTCCAGCCCCTGGTGGGGATTGTTCCAGTCTCTGGTGGGGATTGTTCCAGCCCCTGGTGGAGATGGTTCCAGCCCCTGGTGGGGATTGTTCCATCTCCTGGTGGGGATTGTT